TTGCTTAACTTCTACTGTAAATGATCCTGGTGATATCACGTATGCTGTAAGCAAGTCAGATGGCTACAGGATTAATCTATTTCGATGGAGAAATTATAGATGATACTGAGCGTGATGTAGCCGAAAGACAGAGATCAAACGACAAGTGTTTGTGAAGCGTGAGGTGGAGTCGTTCATAGCTGTTCTAAACGTATATATCACAGAATTTTAGTATTGATGACGACAGCCTTGAACAGGTATACGATCAAGTTAAATGTTTTGGAATGATATTATTATTTGGATGTCAATATATATAACCACCGCATGGCAAGCGATAGACATATATACATAAGGCATCTTAGCATACGATATCCGATTTTGAGAGAGAAGATACGGAACTGTGAGGCTATTAATCATGGGTGATTCAATCTCCCGCAGTAGTTCGCCCTGGTTCAGATGTGTGGAAAAAATGTTATATAGTGAAATGCGTCGCTGACATACTGGTCAACAATTTAATGAAAATTATAACGATAAATGATAAAATTCTTCGATTTATGTTTGCAGCAGTAAGATATAAAAGTGAGAAGAAACAGTGCGCGTCATGTTGACTGAAGATAAACCACGCAATCCAGCATTAAGTAAGATACGAGTTGATACCCAAGCTAGGTGCTTGAAATAAACAAAGCACAACGTACATTTTAATAAGGCAAATTACAAAGGAACTGAACAGGCTTTTTGTGGGCGGCAGTAATAAGCTTGGATCTGCTACGAGTTACAATTTAGTAAGACGATAGGTTAATTTATTGCTATGAATTAGGAATTAATGAAGGGATTGCCTCGATTTGTGGGTGCCAATATATTTACTGATAGTTCTAAATTATCGCCGTTGTTGGTTTTTCTATAAGTTTGGATTCTACAATATAACTATCAACTATGTCTGGAACTCAGAGACGGCGATAGAAGTGAAACGAAAATGACTAATGTTATTCGCATCGGCATTATGAAAGCATTTACGATAGACAATTCGTAATGATTTTCGCACAACTATAAATGAAGAATTCGCTTAGTCAACAGGATGTGCAAACCTCACGGAGTGTGCCGCGTTTGATGATGTTTTTGATCAAATTATCGTAAAGGTTGGACGCATTAAAAAAGGTGCTGGACGCCGACGGAATACCCTATCAGTTTCTGAGAAATTGGTGCTCCTCTGGACTTTCCGGACCGTTATCATATCTTCAGCACATGGCAGTGGAATTTGGCATTTCGCCAAAGCTTCGGAAATTTCTCCTTTAGCCCTATAATAAATCAGGATCCAAATCAACAGTTAACTAATTATAGAACGCTATATGGCATTCAATCTTTTAATAACCCAAACTATTTGCATTATTTTGCCTCAAATACTTTCCTTTTTCAAAACATTCTCTACAATAACAACACGGTTTTATCAACAGTACTGGCTCGATGGAATCAAGGGGTAAGAGATGTATGGCGGTTTATACGGATTTGTAAGCGACGCCTTCGATATGGTAAACTACAAAATATTATGTACTAAAGCCTTAAATCGGTATGGAGTAAGAGGCAAGCATGGACTGGTTTCATTCATATGCTGACAGGAAGAATTTCTTCAAGTAGCAGGTAAATGGCCACTTTAAGCTGATATAGAGCAGGCAGCTCAGGCGCCCACAAGGATACATGCTCGGACCAATCCTGTTCAATATTTTCAATCAGGATATTGGCGATAAACGTTCCAATCAGATTCATTTATTTAATGCAGATGATTTGAAAATAATTGTAGAAAAATTAACTGGATTATGATGATATGCGCATTCTTCAGCAAGGATAATTGAGGAACTTAGGCAGTTGGTGTTTGGGGAATAGGCTACTGGAACGTTAATAAAGTGTGGGTGGATGTTTTCTCTCGCTCTCCTCAACGACAATTTTCAGCTTATTATCTGGTGGACACACTCAAGGAAGTCGAATTTGAAAGGATTGGGCGCGTCATTATCGAAAATAATTGAAGTTTGGATGGATAATTCGAAAGTAATATGGGCATCAAGAGGTCATGACCATGAGCACGCGATGAATGTCTATTATCAACTTGAAATAACTCACTTTCCAAGTGGGAGACAAATCTTGCAGATCTTATAATTAGATATTTTTTCAGATGCATTAATTGCGCAAATTGAAGTGGCCAAGGAAATATTAAGAACAATTTGAAGTTTGTCTATTTTGTCAGAGCCTGGTTGAGGTCGTCTAGATTTACTTGAATTCAATTTAAGGACTACTAAAAATTATGGTATATTATGGTCCGAAAATAAATAGCGGAACGCTAAGTAATGAATAGTTGTTCGCAGCATAAACTTCTTTGGGCAGGATCCACATCATCATTCTCGATACAGATAAAGAAAATTATACACAACAGATAATGTGTTATTTTTTAAAATATTTTATCTACGAAGATTGTAAACCACAATGGTTTGATGTGATATTATGTTATAATCTCAAATTCTTAATTTAATTATAGTGCATCGATTGGTTTATATTGCAATTAATGATCTTAAAAAATATCTATAAGATCTGCAATTTGTCTCCACTTGGAAAGTGAGTGTATTTCAAGTTGATCATAGACTTCATCGGTGCTCATGTCATGACCTCTGATGCCCATATACTTCAATTTATCATCAAACTTCAATTTATTGTCCATAATGACGCCCAAGTCCTTTACGGATTCGACTTCCTCGAGTTGGTGTCCACTCAGATAATAAGCTGCAGATTGTCGTTGAGGAGAGCGAGAGAAAGACATCACCACACATTTATCAACGTTCAGTTTTAGCCTATTCCTCAAACACCAACTGCTAAGTTCCTCAATATCTTGCTGAAGAATGCGCATATCATCATAATCAGTAATTTTTCTAAATATTTTCAAATCATCTGCATAAAGTAAATAATCTGATTGGAATTTATCGCCAATATCGTTGATGAAAATATTGAACAGGGTTGGTCCGAGATGTGATCCTTGTGGGGCGCCTGAGGGTGCTCTATATTCAATTGAAATGTGGCCATTTACCTGTACTTGAAGAAATCTTCCTGTCAGATATGAATGAAACCAGTCCAGTGCTTTGCCTCTTACTCCATACCGATTAAGTTTATTACATAATATTTTGTAGTTTACCATATCGAAGGCTTCGCTTAAATCCGTATATACCGCATGTACATCTTTACCTTGATTCATCTGATCCAGTACGTTGATAAAACCGTGTTGTTTTGTAGAGAATGTTTTTGAAAGGAAAGGTTATTTGAGGCAAAATAATTTTTTCAAATAGTTTGGGTATTGAAGATTGAATGCATATAGGTCTATAATTAGTTACTGTTGATTTGGATCCTGATTTATGTATAGGGCTAATGTAGGAGAATTTCCAAGCTTTTGGGAAGATGCCAGATTCCACTGATTTGCTGAAGATATGGGATAACGGTTCGGAAAGTCCAGGAGCACAATTTCTCAGACGCTGATAGGGTATTCCGTCGGGTCCAGCACCTTTTTTAATGTCCAACTTACATAATTGATCAAAAACATCATCAAACGCGGCACACTCCGTGAGGTTTGCACATCCTGTTGACTAAGCGAATTCTTCATTTATAGTTGTGCGAAAATCATTACGAATTGTCTATCGTAAATGCTTTCATAATGCCGATGCGAATAACATTAGTCATTTTCGTTTCACTTCTATCGCCGTCTCTGAGTTCCAGACATAGTTGATAGTTATATTGTAGAATCCAAACTTATAGAAAAACCAACAACGGCGATAATTTAGAACTATCAGTAAATATATTGGCACCCACAAATCGAGGCAATCCCTTCATTAATTCCTAATTCATAGCAATAAATTAACCTATCGTCTTACTAAATTGTAACTCGTAGCAGATCCAAGCTTATTACTGCCGCCCACAAAAAGCCTGTTCAGTTCCTTTGTAATTTGCCTTATTAAAATTGTACGTTGGTGCTTTGTTTATTTCAAGACTAGCTTGGGTATCAACTCGTATACTTAATGCTGGATGGTGTTTATCTTCATCAATGACGGCATCTGTTTCTCTCACTTTTATATCTATACTGCTGAAACATAAATCAAGAATTTTATCATTTATGTTATAATTTTCATTAAATTGTTGACAGTTATTCAGGAGCATTTCACTATATAACATTTTTTCACAATCTGAACCAGGGGAACTACTGGGGAGATTGTAATCACCCATGAT